TGCGGGGTTGCTCGTCCGCCAGGCTGAAGGGTGGTGGTGGAGGGGCTGGAGGAGGCAAGGCAGAGCAGGGGGCACGGTGTCAGACACGAAGCAGCTCTGACGGGGTGCTCCAGTGCCTGGGTTTCGTTTGCGAGGGATCGGAAGCGTTTTCTCCTTTGTGTCGTCTTAAAATAATATTGTGCGTTTCCTCGAGCTGAACGTCTCTGCTTTTCCTGCTTATCATTCTTGTGGAACCACTTCCAGCAGTTTCTGGCACAGGACTGTCGCGGAGACTGCGGGGAAGAAAGCAAAGGACAGGTCAGAGATCACACGTGGGGGCCCAACATGCATCTTGGTCTCGGTTCACGATGCTCTGCCTCAAAAGGGCTGACCCTTTGCCTTCCCACCGTGCTTCTGAGCAAGATTAGTCCAAAGACAATTTAAGACTTGGAAGCAAACAAGCCACGGGCTACTCTCTACTTGCGTGCAGAACTTGGACATACAACACTGGGAGCTTTGCTCCTGCAGCAAGGATGCTGTACCCTGGAGAGGCTCCGGTACTTCTTGACGCCAGTTTCTAATTCCACAGTGATATGGTAACTACTTTGGGATGCCAGAACTGCAAGCAGCCAACACTGAGTCGGGTCAGGAATGGGCATAGGAAACACGAGCCAACGCTTCTACTCCCAGTTTTGCAAACCTCAGCTGCACGTGCACATGGCTGCTTTAAAACTCAGCAGGCTGAACACGAGGCAGAGTCCACAGCCTTGCACGGAGCAGGTGAAGGGCAAAGGAAGCATTTGGGATGCAGACTGGCACAGGGAAGGTGCCAAACTGAAGTAACTTTATTTTTCCGCCCGTTTGGTGGCTGGTATCCAAACACACCGGCGCTTTCTTCACTGTGTGTTTGGAGACCACCAGACAGACTTGCCAGGTAAAGCTGCCACTAATTCTAACTACACACGAAGTCAAACTCGGACCAGTCGGAGGTGATCAAATTATCTGCAGTGTATGAATATACACGTGGTTAAAGTTCAGATGTTTCTAACTGGGGATTCGCAGGATTACCATTCTGCGTCCCCAGAATATCTTCTATATTCTCCTTACAAGCCTCTGGTGGTGGAAAACAATTAATATGGTAATTTGCCACCCAGGCACAGTAAAAATGGCTTTTCCAGGAACTGAGCCTAATACTCAGAATAAAAAAAAAGTGAGTGTGAGAGAGAGGGGGCAAGAAAAAAGAATAACAAGTGCTGAGCACTTGTTGAAAGCCTTTTTCTTCTTCATAAAAAGCATCCAGCTAAGGTTGGGCATTTCTACTTGTCTGCTTTTCTAGGTCAGCCTGTTTTATGAGAGCTAGGAGACAGATGGTAGAGTTTAGTTACTTGGACAACACGGATTGACTTTCTTGATTCGGTTGCTCAGACGGAGGTTACGTGTGCCAAGCGCAGCCTGTCCATCCCTTCAAAACACACCGTGCTGGAGCGTCAGCTGTTGGAAAACCTTATACGAAGATACTTCAAAAACAAACCTCGTAAGAGAAAACATCCAGGGGATTTTCCCCTCCCTCTGCTCTGCTGCCACACTTTGATGCCAAGGAGAGCTTTGACTGGATCAGAAACGTTAGCGCTGGCTAAGCGATGGATTGGGACTAATTCCGAATTTTCAGCAGTCAAACCGAGGCCAACTGTGCTCAGACTGTTCTGCTGTTACTTCTTTTCCCTTCCTACACCGCTGGAAAGGGATTCTCTGCTGACAAAAGGCTTGACCCTGTGCTTTCACAGGAGGCAGAAGAAAGGCAGCAATGTCCCCAGTGAATTCCGCTCCACTGCATAACGGCAATCTGCTTGCCCAGATAAAAAAAAAACCAAACACCACAGTATTTGGCCCAAACTTTGCAATTATCGCAGGTCAGGGTGCGTTTTGGGTGCCTGATAGATAAGGTAATCATCAGGTTAAAACTTGTTACCGTGAAAGAATTGATCAGAGCCAAGTCTCCACTACACGAAGGAGAGCCAGTGCTACTAGCTGGAGCATGCTCAGCGGGAAGCTGCTAGTTTTGGACCAAAAGCCAAGGCTCTTGCTCTTCCCTGGTAATACTCACAGATGCCTTGGAGAACCCACTTGGGCTTGTTTTGCCACCAGACCCCGAAGAAGTAAAAAGGGAGCCCGCTGAAGATGATGGCAAAGCCGATCCCACATTCCTTCGGCGTCATCCAAAAGGAAACAGCGATGAGAAACAAGCAGGCCAGGATGAAGAAAATGGGCAGGCAGATGTTCACCTAAAGAAGGACCCAAAGAATGGGTTAGAAGTTCTATCAGGGGAGAGGGGGACACTTTCCAGGGAAGTTATCTAGCTGTATAGCCCGAAGGAGTTCGTGTGCCACCATAGACCCCTACGTGGATGGTGCTCCTGACTGTCCCAGTGCTCTGAACAAGGGGACCATGACCTTGAACTGCCATGGGGAAGGTATCGATTTAGGCAGTGCTCTCCAGCAATCCTGGAGAAAATGGAAGTAGGTAACACCTAACCCGCACATTTAATACCAGCAAAACAGAGCATGGAGATGTGGCTTGCCAAGATGGTGTAAACCTTCCTCAGCATCCATTTTTTTTCCCCCCAATTCCACACTTGGATGATTCCTTATAAAAAGCACCTGTACCAACAGCATCAAATTCAGCCAGAGCACCTGCACTGCAGTTGCTCAGGGGACTCAGGTACACGGCTCCGAGCAGGGCACCCACTGAGAGCAGCCCAGCGTTTAGCAGAAAAACCAAAAACCAAAGGAAAAACCCTGAAAAGAGTTCCTTTGGGCAGGCACTGGTACAGGGCTGCCAGTTTGTGTCTCTCCGGCTGCCTGTTGCCTGGCAGAGACCGAGCGTGCTGGGGGACGAGCGAGAAACGCGCCGCCAAGGCAGGCAGACATGCTTGTGGCTGACATGGACTTGGCCTCCTCCCAGATGGGACACGGTGCTGCCAAGCTGGCCAAGGACAAAGAGAACAAAGTTCCCATCTCTGCAGGCGGGGGTTTGTCTGCTTCATTAAAAAACTATTTTAAGTGAATTCCGTGATGGTACAGAGCGTTTCACTGAGAGCCACAGCCTATGATTGGTGCTGGGGAATATGTTAAGTCACCGAGAGCTTCTTGCTGGGCTACCCCACCAGAACACCCCCCATCTCTGACAACCAGAGCCTCCTTCACTCTGATGTCCCCACGGCCACGGCAGCTCTTTGCCCTCCTGCACTGGGAGACTCCCACGCAGCAGGGACACCTGCGTTAGCCACATTTCCCCTGCAATCCCAGTCCCTATTCCGTACGGGACAAGCGGCCGAACTTGCTGAACCTTCCCTGGTGCTGAGCAGAGGCTCAGGGAGGACCCACCATGCGATTCCCACACTGCACTCACCTTGATGGGCCTTTCCAGCTCTGGCTTCTTGTAACGCAGCCACATCATGCCGATGATGGCCAGAGCCACGCACAGCCAGTTGAAGAAGCTGAAGAAGTTGATGACTGAGAAAATGTTGTTGGAGAAGGCATAGAGCAAGGTCATGATGCACTGCATCCAGGAAAAAAATATAAAAGCCATTAGCAAAGGGAGAAATAGGCAAAAATCACATATGTTCCAACACTAAATACAGGTATTTTAGAATAACAGGAAAAGAATCAGGCTGATTATGTTTTACTCATTCAAACCATTTTCAGCTGGTGCCTGGAGCGATTTTAGAACAGAAGTGGAATACAAGGATATGATGAGAAGGAGAAGGGTCCATCCTCTCCTGTAGGTGTCTGCAGAAATGGCTGTGTCTGGAGACGGTGCCCAAGTAACCCCCCTCCAACCACTCTGATGGGATCCTACCCCCGACCCGTTTCTCAGTACCAGGTCGATGCTCCTCACCGCAGACCCGGGCACTTACCGTAAAGACGAGGGATGGCACGGGAGTGAGGAGCCTGGGGTGAATCATGGACAGGATTGAAGGCAAGTGTCCTTCTCGGGATCCCACGAAGAACAGCCTGAGGTGGGGGAGACAGAGCAGTTACCACCTCTGCAACCACCAACCCTGGGCTGAGGGTTTGCCTTCAGCACAAAACAAGCGGGGCCAGACCCAGCTCAGCCTGGGCATTGCTGAGGCAGCAGGACTGAGACGCCCAGGCTCCATGTGGGTGCTCCACCTCAGTGGTGCCTTGCACCATGCCAGCTGTGCCCTTCTGCTAGTTCCTGCTCCAGGAGTGGGGCCCTCCAGGATCAGCCCCCAGCACGGGGTGTTCTGCACGTACACAGTGGGAAGCGCCTGTCTTAGAAGGAAGGTTGGAGATGGACAAGGAATGCAAGAAAAGATGGATTCATATCCTCCTTTCCAGAGAGAGCAATTACGTGACTTTCCTACGACAACCTGGAAGATGTGTGTCAGAGCTGGAACCTCCTCAGTTCCTGTCCTGCCCCGTCCTTTCTCCCCTTTCTGGAGGGATTCTCAGCCCTGAAGTTTCATAAGTTTCTGCTTTTCATTAAAGCCACTTTCTCAGGCAACGCCGCGCAGCCCCAAGCCTGTGTTTGTTTATGTCCTAATAACTTCAACAGGACTTTGCCTGAGGAACAGAAGACTTAAGACCACTGGAAGGGTTTCCTTTAAACTGGATATGGTTTTAAAGTCTTACTTCTTTTTTTTTTCTTCATTCCCCACATGGCCTCCAGACCCTTTAGACTTTGTGTCTACCCACAGCCACTCTTTGGAGCACAACTCCAAACGAAGAGGCATTAAGTGCGACTTGTAAACAAAACCCACAAAATTGAGCAAGAAACCTACCGGGAAGAAGTGAAGAGAGATCCGTTAACAGATCCAAAGCACGATAAGCCAACAAAGACAGGTATGATCCAGGACATGACACCAAGGTGATAGTTCCCAAAATCCTAAAGGGGGGGCAACAAGATGGACATTTCACACCCAGAATGCCAAAAAGAACTCGCATCTGCGTACAAAGACTTAACATTTGTAGAAATCTGAACGATTGATGTGGATTAGTAGGTGAAACTGTTATGGAGTTTTCCATATTGCCATGTGCTGCTCCTCCTTCCTGAAAAAGCATATTGTGGAATCACAAAAATAGGGCAGAAAGCCCTTCCCTCTGAGTCAGCACACAACGTTTATCAGAACAGCTCTCCACAAAGTTCAAGACCAAAGTGCGAGGACACTCAGACACGCGGATATTGCCAATTGCTGAGTAAGGACCGTGGGACACGGCCCCTTGAAAACGTAGTGACCTGGAATTGTAGTTTTATATCACGACCTGACCCTGCGCTGCGTCACCGCAGTTTTACGCCAACGTTCTCATCTGGATTTGAAGACTTGCAAAGGTGCTCACCTAGAGCAAGGCAACCCGGGCTGCCACCTCCGGTAACTCCGCACAGGCTGGAGCGGGGCTGGGTGACAACCCCAAGGATGGAGCACTGTCACTGAAGTGGCTCAGACCACCTTATCCTGGACTGGGAGATTCCCCTTGAAGCACTGAACAATCCTGGTCACGCTCAGTTTGCAAGGTCATACCACGCTGCTCAATTCTGAAGCAACCAGGATTTCTGACCGCCACGGCATTTTAATTAATAGAAGTATTATTTTTCTCTCTTAATTAACACAAGGAAGATACAGAGAGAGAACAATCTAGTTCGGTATTGACTGGATGACCTTTCCCCATAAATATCACGCTCCGGTAACTGATGATAAGTCATGAGGCCAGCAGCAACCTTGCATATTTACGAATTAAGAGCAGCGTTAACTGTCTGCCCGCCCTGACTGTTGTCTGCGATTAATCCCACTGGGTATCACGCTGTTCTTCCCTGCTCCCGTCACAGCTGCTCTTTCTCTCCTGTTAAACATCAGCTTTTTTTATAAGCAGCCACGATCAGCCTGGAACAAAGCAGGAGACGTACGCAGGGATTGTCAGCCTGATGCACCCAGCCCCGCAGAGCAGATAAGTCACGTCAGAAACGCGCCCATCTTACCACGGCCACGGCTTCCGACGTCAGCATCTGCTCCGTCGACAGGGTCGTGAAGTAAGCCAAGTTTGTCAGCACGTAAACCAAAGTGACTACAGGTAGGGAGATGATGATAGCCAGAGGCAGGTTTCTAGGAAGCAAACGCAAATGGTAACGGAGCGCCGCGGTTCAGGGAAGGGAGCTGTTGACGTTGGCGGCTCGTGCCGCAGCTTAAAGTTGGCTGGAGCCATCCTGCTTTTCTTTGGCTCCTCGTCCATGTCCACTGTCCCAGTCACAGGCTGCTCTCCCAGGAGAGGAGAAGGTGCCCGCACGGGAACAGCCCGGAGGCTGATGGCCACAGAGCCGAGGATTATGGCAATTATTGGGACTTTTTGCATGGAGAGGCTCTGGCTGTCCGGGCAAGCAGTAATCTGAGATCACTGCAAAGATCAATTAATTAAAAATAACCACCTGTGTCTCTTGCTAGCCAGCGGCATTAGCACGTGCATTCCCTCCCGGACAAAGGAGAAGCATTTGTGCTGGTGGGTTTCTTGCCAGAGATGGAAAGATTCGGGATATAGCGGGCAGTTTTTAGGCTCTAACTCTGTGCAGCTGGCTGGGCTGATGAAACTCAAAGAAAATGAGTTCAGACACAGTCTGAGAGGGTCCGTAAAGACGGGGCTGTGTTGGTACAGATTTGCCTTTCCAAATAGTCTTCACTTCGTTTGCGAACGGAAACTGAAAAAGGAAACCCTGCGTGATGCCACGTATAATTGGTCTCGCGGAGCTCGAAGCCACAGGAGGAGAGAGTCAAATACCACGGCCGCCTTCAGAAGAGAAGAAAATAATTGCAATCTGCAAAAACTTTTTTCTAACTGTGTTTGCCAAGGAAAGAGCGTATCAAATCTTATGCTTCCCAGCGGGCACTAATCACTGCCAGGGTCAGCTGGGAACGGGCTCTTGCACAAGTGACCCCAAAAGCTCCTATCAACAGTGCCTTGGAGGCACCGTCCCCCCGAGCAAAAGGGATTTATTGGTGATGTCCTGCTTTGGCGTGGCCCACCCTGATCTCAGCAGGTCCCCTGAGAGGCACGAGCAGCACAGGACGCGGCTGTTGCTCAGGAAAACAGGAAGAGCACGTGGCAAACGTATGTAGGCACAAACCCCCTCGTGGGAGGTCACACAGGACAGGGATAGAGTGCCTCTTCCTCGCCTGTCGTTCAGAGAGGTGCCATGCCAAGGAAGCAGGACTTTCCAACAACACTGATAATGTTAGCAGTACAGGAAAGCAGAGTAAGCAACAGCCCTTCTCATACAGAGATTATTATTTCCCTTCCCCTATTCCAGGGAGGAACAATGCCATTAATCTACCTTGTTTTCCATTTCCCTAGAAAAAGACCTTGGCTTCTGGGCGGATTAGCAAGCCCTGTTACACACAGGAGGAGGAGGCTTCCCCCAGAATGAGTTTTCCTCCCAGGACACACACCTACCTGTAGGGGTTTATCATCTCTTCTGTAACAAAATTCAAGTAATTCCTGTAATTTAAAAAGAACAGTGGTTAACGCTGGTTAGTCCATGGAATAAATGAAGCCCTTCACCTTACTCATCTGCGAGGGAATTTCAGGATGGGTAGAGAGACTGAAACCTGCAGTAAAACTCATGATGGCTGACACCTCGTCCAAGACCTACGGCACAAAACCTGCCAAACACACGTCCCGGATGGTGCTGGTGGATCTGGCACACCGTGCCGCCAGCTTCCTTGCAACAGGAGGGGTGACTGCAGGTGAAGAGCCGGACCCACAAGCCACAGGGCCACCTTCCAGGCGATACGGATGGCTGCAACTGGCCTGTTTTCACAGCAAGTTGAGCAGGCTCCTTGTGCTCGCAAGTGCTCCGAGGGACGGATAAAGAAGCTCTGCAGGAGCTTCAGTTTGGTGCTCTAAAGGATCCGTTGGCAGTTGACACATCGCTTCCTCTGCCAGCTAAACCCACCCAGCTGCTTTCTCTTAACACCACCCAGGAGCTGCACCAAGCAACCCATCATCTGCTGCCTCTTCCATCTCCCACCATCACCACCACTTCTTTGTGCTCCTGTGTCCTGGCTGGAAACGGGGAGCCAGGTATGACCATTACCAGGGGAACCCAAACCATCTGCCTTGCTGCCCTGGCTACAAGAAAAATGGAAAGTCCTGGTCCACACTCTTCCTGCAAACACAATCTGAGGACAAAGGCATGAACTACAGTATTTAGCACTGAAAAGAGATACAGGGCTGCATCTTACCATCCTCCATAGGCAAAGAGGCCGCTGTACAAAGCTAACACAATGTTCCCCACGCCTACTTTTGTGCCTTCAAAGGAGTGCTCAGGAGTCAGGTGTGTCACATCGCCTGCAGGAAACAAAACCAAGAAAGGATCGATGGACTGTGAACCCCAAGGGCCTTTGTGGGTGTTGAAACAGAGAAACCTGGAGGCGAAAGCTCCTCTTAGGACACTTAATTATCATGTTGATGCATGTTGGGTTATGCCAGAGAGCACGTGCACGTATTTCCATCGGGCTGATTCCTCCAGTTTTACGGTGTTGAACTCATCCGGAGTACCACCCCAAATAATCAGCCGTGAATATACTTGTCTCAAGCGACTGGTTGTTACTGAGTCCTCAAAACTTTCTCACACTACAACTTGCTATCACCGAGGTGGATCTCCCAGATAGCTTCTCCCTGTGAAGAAAACATTCTGGGGAACCTTCCTGCTGGAAGATGCAATGCAAACAGATATTGTCGCGTTGTCCTCTTGGCTGAAAGCTGCTTTCGTTCGATAAAAACCCCAGGATTTCCTCCACTTCCACCAGCCACTCAATAAAGCAGAAACCCAGGATTTCCTCTAGTCCCACCAGCCACCTGATAAAGCAGAGGGTTATGGCAATCCCTTTGATTGTGGGAAGTCACGTTCTTTGGGGCTCGAATATCAGAAGTCAGCTTCTTTAGGGTTTGAATATCAAAAGTTCCTGTTACGGATCTGCTTTTGAAATAAAAAGCTATAAATAGGCGACTCGATTGTACCTTTGGTAAGAACTCTCCTGGAGCAACCAAGGGTTTATTTATTTTGCTTTAAAACGCTCTGCAGTTGTTTTGTTCCCTGGTTTTTGATGTGAAGCCTGGGACGGCGAAGCCACGCTCTCCTCCCCGGACCCAGCGCTGCCCTGGGTGAGGATGGAAGTGGGATGGAGGCAGGATTCAGCAGGGCACGTTTGAATCCAGGGAGCCCTGTGGAAGCCCATGTGATTCCTCTTAGGGCACAGATCTTTACTAATCGCCCAAGCAACTGCATCACATGGCAGTCAGCAGGGCCTGGAGCTTAACCCTTCATCTCTCAGCACAAGGTACCCGGGACGTGCATCTGGGAAAGGAGAGGGATGCTCATTCCAGGCATTTTCCCTCTGGACAACCTCTCTTCCCATCTCATGCTGGAAACTTTCACTCCCCTGTGCCACCAAAGGCCACGGGTAACAAATCTGGACACATAGACCTTTTAACACTTCACACTCATCTTTCTAGTGGTGGGAAACTGGGATTCTTCCCAGACGGCACTATTGCTCTGCTGGTGCATGTCATCCGTGGGGCTTCACGAGGGACCGCTCCAAATCCGTGCCGGTGACACGGAGCTGCCCTATGTGCGTGGCAGAGCTGCATCTTGTCTTTCCCCCTCTCTGCCTGACCCTCCTGCTCTGTCCCCATCCTGGGCATTGCTCCCTTCACCTCTTCTCTCTCTCCTGTTCCTGCTGAGTCCTAACCAAGGATATGTCCTAACCAAAATGATATTCCCTAACACGGCGTGCGAAATGCTCTCTGCTCACAAAACTACCCAGGAAACCAGCATCCCTCTGCCTCCCCTGCCCAGCTGCTATCCCATTTGCAAGGGGATGCTGTGGGTGTGAGCTGCAAAAGAGCCGGGACCACAGCAGCAGCTTATGCCCTGGGCAATCAGGTCTGGGAAACACCAGTTTTCCAAGGCTCTACTTGTCCAGATCCCACTGCAGATTGCAGTTCTCTGCTGGTGTTGCCTTGTCCCTCTCTCCCAGCACCTCCTTGCACTAGGAAGGTCTCTTCTGAATCTACCTTGGGATGCTCTGGTGGTATTTAATGCCTCTTCAGCCACTGAATCTCCTTAGCAAGATGCACCGGTTGTTTTCAAAACGTGAGGTTAGAACATGTACATCAGGGTGTCACAGGAAAGCCAAGAAATGCAAAGAGACTGACATAATGCTGCGAGTTTAACCTTACTTCCTGCCTTATAGGTTCAGTCATATAATCTTAATTTAGCATTAATGCCCTGGCCTGGCTGAGCAGGAGGTGGGTGTGCATGGTATCACGTTCTGCTCCATCCCTTGGGCTCAGCTTTCCCAAGTTTATTTTCTGCCCCTTCTGAATAATTACCAGGCTCATTCTCTCCGAGTCTTTTGTTATGGGAATAAGATACACTTTTTGTTAACAGGGACTATAATTAGCTACTGGAACCTGGAACGGAACACAGACGACCAGGAGAGCTCTCCAAGCACTTCAAACACCCCTTGGGAGGTCTCTTCTCAAAGGTCTGCTCGTGCCCAGCCAGCAGCCCAGCTCCCCCCGCGCCGAGGGATCCGCACCGTTACCATGCCAGGAGGATGCTCTGGTCCAGGAGCAACCAGGGCACGAGCAGCATCACACTGCGGGCTCACGCCTCCATTTCTTGTCCACAACTGGACACCAGCTTCCACCGAAAGTCTCTTTGTTTGTCACAGGCAAAAAGCTCCCCGGCCAAACGGTCCTTTTTCTGCAGCATCTGCAGGTTTCGCTCTGTGCCTTCCCAAACCTCGCACAGAAACCGCGCGGGGAAGGGCTGAGCTGCTGCCCTCACCCAGCTGGTCGGCGTGGGGGGGGGAGAAGAGCATCGGTGGTCCCCGGCCCCAAAATCATGTGCCCACCTTCAGAATGGGTGTGACATCACTAATTGCTCACACACCTTTTCCTCCAGCCCGCCCAGCTCGCACCTAACCCGTCTCTCTGAAGCACCAAAACGCAGCTGCCGGCAAAGGAGTGGCACGTCAGCGGGGAGGCAGCCAGGAGAGGAGACTAGGGAGAAGGGAGGAGGAAGGGAGGAGGAAGGGAGGAGGAAGGGAGGAGGAAGGGAGGAGGAAGGGAGGAGGAAGGGAGGAGGAAGGGAGGAGGAAGGGAAGGAAGGGGCTTTTTGTTCCTCCTCAACGCTCAAGGAGCTGACACCTTGCTGCCCTCTCCCTGCCTCACCTAGCCAGAGTTGTAGCTCTCCAAAAACTTGCAGCAAGTTGCCAAACTTCCCATCTCCAATGGTAAAATGGAGATAGCAACATGTCATAACACAATTAAATAACCAGAGGAGCCAAGATCTGTCTCTTCCCATTCCATGGGGCCATGGTCGTGTTCTCAGGTACCCACACGATGCCCGTTTGTGACACTTGCTTCTTTCATGCTTTATTGCTTCCTGGTTGCACGACAGGAGCCTGGGCTCCTGAACAAGCACGCCCTGAAGATGACATCCCAGCAGAGCAGCCCTCCTCTCCTGCCATCCCCACAAAACCCTGTCCCACCCTGCCAGCAGATCACCAGGAAGATCATCATTTGTGCCCGCCAGCGATGCCTTTACAGAAATAACCAGCACCACGTCATACATCTTGGGGCAAAAAAGCCAAGCTCCAGCAGCGATGCTGGAAAGGTATCCCAGATGTCTTCCCACATGGACCAAGTGGTAAAATACAGTGGGTGAGCTCTGACTGCACCCACAAATCCTTGGAAGGGAAATCCATCACACACAGATACCTCCTCTGGCGCAGAGGAGCCGGACGTGCGCTGGAGGCTGAGAAAGCACCGGGGAAGCACCACGTGCCCCCTTGTTCCTGCACTCACCCACTGATCCTGGTTTGAACCGGCTGCTCAACCGCTCTCTGCTCTACAATTAACCAAATTAAGGTAACGAGCTCTGACATAAACCCCATTTGCTGATCTTGCCAGCTGCCAAGACTTTGGTAATTGCGCCGGGAAGCGAGGGGTCACCTGGGGCCTTTCCGCAGGAGGGACCTATTTTGGGTCCAGACCCTTTCTTTGAAAACGTTCGTTTGCTCCCCAGTCGTGTCCGTTCCGGTTTTAATAGCACAGCAATCTTCTCTTGCAGAAGGCATTTAATGATAATTAAATATTTTTAACTTGCCTAAGCAGCGAGGAGAGGGAACACGGCCATCTAGAGAGCTCGGCAGGAGAAGGGAGCGTGTCTCGCTCATGGAAGAAAGCGAGCCAGGCAGAAATGTGTTGTATATACGAATAACCCCAGAGGAGAAGATCCACTCAGCTGTTGAGCCATTTCCTGAGAAAAGCAGCAAGAGTTCGATCGACTGACTTAGAAAAGCAAGAGGGCAAGAAGCCCGCCGGGGTCAGGAGAGCATCCCTGCGGCAGCTCGCGGCTCCCCGGGGAACGCGCGCTCCGTAGCCACGTAAGCTGTTTGCTCCTCTCCGATCGCTGCCGCTCTGCAGACAGCTGAGCATTAAGCAGTTTGGAACAGCAGCTGTTAAACTTGAGTCCCGTAGCAGAAGAGTTTATGGGTCTGAAAGACACCAGCAGAGACCTCGGACCGGCAGAGAGGGCATCCAAGGAGGAGCCGGAGCTCCTGGGTCGTGGCCCTGGTTCTCACCACCAGCTGTGGACAGGCTCTGACACTTCCCCTCGTTTAAGCAACTTCCTTCTGTTTTATGGAAAAGTTCCTGTCTCCTCCCAGTTCTGGGAAACTTTGTCAATATTATTACTCGTCCAGAGTGAAGCCAAGGGTCTGGGCTCCTGGATTCACTCCACCTCTCACACTGCTCGAGCTTCACAACTCCTCCTGTTTGCAATGGTCCACCAGGACACTACTTGGGCCAAGGAGCGTGTTGTTACCTTTCCCACCTCCTCTGCATCCTGAAGGCTCCAGGCTCTGGAAGGGCTGACCAGAGTCAACCAGCGTGACATGCACAAGAGCCAGGAACGTTTGGGAAGGGCAGATCCTCCTGCCTGGCACCCACACCTCCAGCACCACAGGCGAGGCACCAACAGCTGCTCCTGCTGCAACCAAAGCCTTTAGAGAGATGGAGGGAGGAGATCCAGCCAGGATGCACAGCAGCATTAGCCGCTCTCTAGTTCAATGTCTGCATCGCTGGGATGGCTGCACTTGGAAAAACGAGAAGCCAGCAGAGCCGCTCGTGTCAGCTGCCTTAAAACCCACTCAGCCCACGGCGGTGGGGAGCAGGTCCCACCAGGCAGGTCCCAGACATGTTCCTCAGCCTCCAACGTGAGGCACGGGCCTCGGTCCAGCTGAGCGTTTGGCAGCTCGCTCGGGGTACCAAAAACG